AGTTGTGACTATGGCACGATGAACTAAGACTCTCAACAGGGTCTGGCTGGGTGGAATATTTTATTGCCATTCACTTTTCCAGGTTCTTTTCCAAACTACCTCGAGTGGGAGGGACCAGAGACTACGCCAATTTTATTACTGCGCTATTTTATTACTTCATTGTGTCGCTGAGTGTGAAATGCTAAAGTATTAGTTAAAAGCGTAGTTTTGTGATATTAAAAACATAATAAGTAAAAGAAAATAGTAAATTTGACGGGTGTAATAAACACGAGACTAGTCTTTAAACAGACGGGAGCTGTGATGAAATCTTGTTGCTGGACTCCTCGCCCCTTGTCCGTTATTTTCGCGGCGAGGTCGGTTTACTGCGCGCAGTTTTTTTTAATTTATTTTTTTTATAATTTTGTCTTAGCGATTCTATAATAGATATGTATATTCTATTTAAAACAATTTAATTTGCCGTTAATTAGTCATAGCAGAAGTTAACGTTACAGGGTCATGCGTTTTCCGAAATCAAAATTAGCGGCTCAGTTTAAATTCCTGTTCATAACATGAAGGATAAACAATCCTCTTAATACAGAAAACCAATGGCGGTTTCTCAGGCCAAACACAGGACCGCTGCACAAAATGAATGGCCACTCACCCAGAAGATGAAATTGAAGAAGAAGAGCATGTATTTGATGCATTTCGTGCAGCCTTCCACGCCCATGGTGTCGGTTTCTGGAGGATGTTTTTAAAGCCGGTTAACGAAGAAGTGTCTCGATGAAGCAGCCGTTATGCAGTGCTCGCGATGACTGAAAGTGAACTCAATCTCCGTGTGAGTTGAGTTGCTGCTTGGATTCAGTCGACGTAAAAAACGGCAACACCCAGTTTTCCTCCCCCTTAGAGAGTCCCCCTAACGACGGCCGAATAACAGCATAGAGACCGTACAAAATAATCCTTATTAAGAAGACTACATACTCGTTCAAAAATAGATTAGCTGCCTAGTTCACACAACATCCTCAGAATTCAAAGTTCATCCCAAACATTTATGAACATTTTGGTCTCATTATTTACAATCCAGTTCAAAAGAAGTGCTCTCTTATCCTTTGACACCGCATTTAAAATCGTTAAATACAACTATATCGATATCCTTTGTTGCAGGTGGGATTGAAATATAAACAACAGAAAGGGTATAAATTACACTTGGCATAATAGCCATGTTTACAAGATACATGCCCTTTATTCATGAAAAATTAGTGTATGTCTCCACCTTGTGGCTGAGAAGGAAACGGAGCTAAATGTATGATAACCATTTTCGTAAGGTGCAAAATAAACATAACTTGTTTTATTTTCTCAAAATATTGGAAATTAAATATCATGATAAAAAATAATACATATTTTTTTATTATCCATAAATTTCATGCACTTCATTTTTGATTGGCCATAAAATACCATGTTTTAAATTAAATATAATATTATACACTTATTAGTGAAAGTACAAATTGCCAGAGGTGGGACCAAGTCATTGTTTTGCAAGTCACAAGTAAGTCTCGAGTCTTTGCATTCAAGTCTCGAGTCAAGACAGACAAGTCTAAGTCGAGTTGCAAGTCCTCAGCTTTAAGAAAAAATATGTGAGCGGAAACGCAGAAAGAACGGCTTTGAAAGAACTCGAAGAAATAACTGCAAGCATTTCTGCAAGCTGCAAGCTGCAAGCTGCAAGCAATAGCCGTCATTTCATCGTCTCGGTTAAGTATAGACCCGATATAGTCCGGCTATGTGTAACCCACTTCTAGCCCAAATAACCTTGAATTTGGTTTCATGTCGTTTTTTGGCAAAATAACTTGTGAGATTTATGATATTCTATCATGTAAGCAAAGTCAACGGCGTTTACAGGGTGTTTGGTTTCATTTCTTTGACATGTTCAATACATAACCTGTGCATAGCCATGATTTAGCTCGTAGTCAGAGCGGCTATCTGTAGCCCACTATAAGTCAAACCTGATTCACTGTAGTTTTTGGCCAGGCAGCGCATGAGATGGTTGATATCCCATCATGTTCGCAGTGTCAATAATATCTACAAAGATATGTGTCATTTCATGACATGGTCTATATGTAGCCACGATTTAGCTCTAAATTGGACGGGCTACGTGTAGTCTGCTTTTAGCCCACCCGGCGAAATCGAGGCAATCTGTGGTCTCATTTTAACGGCTTGGCTATAGCCCTATTATATTTAGACGTCTAATAGACGTCTTTTAAACGCAAAATTGCTTGCTGGGATACTTTGCAAGTGAGAGGAAACATGCAATATGGATGCAGACAAACTCATGAAGACAATCATTCAAAAATGATGAGCTACCATCATTTATAACTAAGAGTAAAAAAGACAAAATCATTTAATAGAAAAAAATGTTGTATGTTAAATAATATGCATAGTTGATCGCTAAATTTAGGGGCTGTGTGCGAGTGACTCGAGTCCACACCCCTGCAAATTGCTACAGATAGTTGCAAACATTTTCAGTAAGAAGCACAATGGTTAACATATATAAAGGAACATTTTGTGGAGATTTTGTGGATTTAAATTTAAAAATACTAATAAATAAATGAATAAATCTATTTTGTCGTCATCATGAAATTCAGCAAAGGTGCAAGTTAAATCCTGCTCTGTCAAATCGCTTTCTGTCGCTAGATGTCACTAATATTCTCGATATAGCATTAATTAACATAGTGACCAGTAGAAAGGTTAGTATAGTATAGGCTACAGCCTATCTTACGTTTATGAATAGCATTTATATCATATTTTATATAATAAAGTCGCCTGCAAAGATAAAGTCAGAGCTCTTTTAATTATGACGTCTTACTTGATCCACACAGAAATCTTACTTCATTCCATTTTTACTATTATATATCACAATAAAAGTTATAATATCATAACAAAGGTTTGTGATATATGAATCACTTAAATTGCTATTACAAGCAGTAGATAAATGCTGAGGCTATTGAAGGTTTTGGCTGCCAATGATAATTCCTACCCTGAAAGAGTTAATGGGTTTCTGACAGTGGAGGTGTTGCCCATGGGACCATGCACCAACAACCCACCAGTGTGAGTGGACATTATCTTTCCTTTGAAGCCTAATTGCTTTTCCTCCTCAGCAGAGCAGGATAATTTGGGATAAATTCCATTATGTGTTTTTTGAGAAGAAGCACATACTGTAATCTGCCTTTAAGTTGTCAGGAATGATGATTAGAAAAAGAAACAGCGAAACGTGAACTGAAAACAGACCTAGTTACCAATAATGTGATTTCTTCAAATTATTGATTACATAATTATTATAGTGACATATGCACTTTAAAAATGTTTCACAATTTCAAGTTATTTTGATGCTTTCCAAAGATTACAAGGCCTGATAATTAACGGTTATCTGACAATTAATAGACTGATATTCTGCATATACATATTAGTAAATATATAGATTCACATTGATATTAGTAGTTAGATTTTTAGAATGTATTTTTAGGGTCTTTTTACTTGCACAAGGGCATTTTCATAAAATGTATGCCAAATACTTTAATTAAACACATTTTCAATCTGCAACAATTACAGTTTTTACCAAATTAATTCCAAGTACAGTCTATCTGTAAATAAATGATAATAATAAAAAAGCACTGCTGGATAAAAATGTAAATAATTTGCTTGACATATTGTCACACAGTAGATCACAGTAGACTACGTTTTTATATAATTGCTGTTTATGGTTTAGCATTTCAAGTGTTTGCCTGTTTTCAGAGGTGATTTTATATTTTATTATTTAAAAAAAACGCTTAATTTGAGTATAAAAGAAATCACTGCTTTATTTGTCCCCAGATTAAATATAAAGGGTCTGTTAATTAATTTATTTTTTTTTCAAACTTAGGCCTATATGATTTCTGACCCTGACTCACACTTAATATTATTGTTTATTCTCTGGACTTTCATTTTAGCAGATGTGTTTTATATAGGTTACTGAGCAGTGCGTATAGGCTCATGCAGACCTGCAGAAACTGCATAATGAGGGAAAGAATAACCTGGCGCAGCGCTTTTCAGGCTTTGTCTTCTCTGAATAATATTGCATGTCGTTTTAAACAACCCACCAGTGTGAGTGGACATTATCTTTCCTTTGAAGCCTAATTGCTTTTCCTCCTCAGCAGAGCAGGATAATTTGGGATAAATTCCATTATGTGTTTTTTGAGAAGAAGCACATACTGTAATCTGCCTTTAAGTTGTCAGGAATGATGATTAGAAAAAGAAACAGCGAAACGTGAACTGAAAACAGACCTAGTTACCAATAATGTGATTTCTTCAAATTATTGATTACATAATTATTATAGTGACATATGCACTTTAAAAATGTTTCACAATTTCAAGTTATTTTGATGCTTTCCAAAGATTACAAGGCCTGATAATTAACGGTTATCTGACAATTAATAGACTGATATTCTGCATATACATATTAGTAAATATATAGATTCACATTGATATTAGTAGTTAGATTTTTAGAATGTATTTTTAGGGTCTTTTTACTTGCACAAGGGCATTTTCATAAAATGTATGCCAAATACTTTAATTAAACACATTTTCAATCTGCAACAATTACAGTTTTTACCAAATTAATTCCAAGTACAGTCTATCTGTAAATAAATGATAATAATAAAAAAGCACTGCTGGATAAAAATGTAAATAATTTGCTTGACATATTGTCACACAGTAGATCACAGTAGACTACGTTTTTATATAATTGCTGTTTATGGTTTAGCATTTCAAGTGTTTGCCTGTTTTCAGAGGTGATTTTATATTTTATTATTAAAAAAAAACGCTTAATTTGAGTATAAAAGAAATCACTGCTTTATTTGTCCCCAGATTAAATATAAAGGGTCTGTTAATTTATTTATTTTTTTTCAAACTTAGGCCTATATGATTTCTGACCCTGACTCACACTTAATATTATTGTTTATTCTCTGGACTTTCATTTTAGCAGATGTGTTTTATATAGGTTACTGAGCAGTGCGTATAGGCTCATGCAGACCTGCAGAAACTGCATAATGAGGGAAAGAATAACCTGGCGCAGCGCTTTTCAGGCTTTGTCTTCTCTGAATAATATTGCATGTCGTTTTAAATAGAGCTTTCCACCGTCTGAAACCATCCCAATATCTGATCTAGTGCACGCGTCGACTCATCCACTCAGCAATTGCGCATGCGCGTCGGTGGGCTCTAGAGGAGGCTCATGTTGTCTCTCCGCAGGAATGACGAGCCTCGCTCCACTCTCGTCGACAGGCACGCGCGGAAAGGGAGACTGAAAATATTCATTTGGTGGAAATAAAGAGAATTCGATCGATCACTTCCGAACAAACACCGGAAGACGTCGCCAAACTGGACACTGTGGAGACAAAAGATTTCTGAAGGACCTGTCCTCTTCCACTTCAAACCTGACGTCTCCTGTATGAGTGTAGCTACATATTCAGTGGCAAAGCATTTTCTAGATGTGATGTCTGTCGTGTTTGTCAACAACCTGCGTGTGAAAATGGGTATCTGGATATTCTTTGAAGAAAACGACTGATGCTACATCGAAAAAAACGCTTAAAATGTGAGCCTCGATCCCTCCACTTTTTGTCGGATTTGAGGAGGCGTCCACTGGGAATCAGGGCAGTGCATGTGTCTCGTTTTGGAGAGAGGAGGGAGTGTGCGCGCTGGAGCTGTCCGTTCAGAACCACACACACACATCTGCCACCAGCGGTGCACCACAAGCCATCAGCCTCGCACCTTCTCCGGACCTCATGGTGCGGAGCGCAAATTCATGACAACCTCTGCACTCATTTAACGTCTTTATTTTCTCATTTTCTCTTGGCATCTGGAGGCAATCCCTTATTCACCTGACAAGAACATCAAGCGCTCATGCAGCGATTTCCTGCAGCTGAGCTGCCTTTGCGCACCTGTTTTTCTGCGTTCATTCGGTTCACTCTCTTTTTTCCGTTGCCTAACAATTGCGCACATGTATCCTCCGGGTCTTTCAGCGTTGTAATGCCTGGCCCGGGCTCGAGACATGCCTAAGCGACGAGATGGGCCAGGGCGACGAGAAAGACCGTGTTGTAATTAACGTGGGAGGGATTCGACACCAGACCTACCGCAGCACCTTGCGCACTCTCCCCGGCACTCGTTTAGCCTGGCTCGCCGAGCCCGATGCCCACAGTCACTTCGACTATGACGCCCAGATCGACGAGTTTTTCTTTGATCGCCACCCCGGAGTTTTTGCACACATTCTCAATTATTATAGGACTGGCAAGTTGCATTGCCCCGCTGATGTTTGTGGCCCTCTTTATGAGGAAGAGCTGGCCTTTTGGGGCATCGATGAGACAGATGTGGAGCCCTGCTGCTGGATGACGTACCGGCAGCACCGGGAGGCCGAGGAGGCACTGGACAGTTTCGGTGGAGGGCCAGCTGAAATGGGCAACGATGAGATGGACACAGAAGGTTTGGGTGATTCAGGGGACGGAGACGAGGAACTTGAGATGACTAAACGCCTGGCCCTCGGCGACTCACCTGACGCAAAAGGTGCAGGGTTGTGGCAACGTTGGCAGCGTCGTTTTTGGGCGCTCTTTGAAGATCCATATTCCTCTAAATATGCAAGGGTGAGTAATGAACAAGTTTTAAAGTGGCAGCCCCGCTGTTCACTGATGGTAAGCACGTGTTGTATTGGATAAGAATAGCCTGCCAATATTAAAGTCTATATTTCAGCTAGCTTAAAAGATAAAAAAAAAGATATAAAAAATGCAATTAATACAAATAAATAAATAAATAAAAAATACTTGACATATCTTTTATAAAGAACAACTGTCAAGGCATAAAAGAAAATGTGGTATTAAAAGGCTGAGATTCTTTGAAAAGGTATTTTTGCATAAATAGTTTGAAGTAATCTTTTATTTCTTTCAAACATTGGAAAAACTTTTGCCTGCCACATCCAAGTCACAATAGCTTGGTAGGAGCCATTTTGTCATGATGTGATGACAAGAAAAAACAAAAACAAAAAAAAAACTCTTGAGATTTTGCAGATGCTTTTATCCAAAGCGACTTACAATTGGGGAATACATAAAGCGATTCTTCTTAAAGAGGCAAACAGACACAGGAAGTGCTTGTAATACCAAGTTTTAGGCATTGTTCAAATAAGTACAAGCTAGAAAGGGAAAGAATAAATAAAGAGAAAGACAAAGTTTAAAAAAATTTTTTTTTTATTTAAGATGAAGTCAAGTATAGCGTTGAAAGAGATGCGTTTTCAGCTGTCGCTTGAAAATTGTCAGGGATTCAGCATTTCGGATAGAGGTGGGAAGATCATTCCACCAACCAGGAACAGTGAACGAGAATGTTCTGGAAAGTGATTTTGAGCCTCTCTGTGATGGTACCACGAGGCGTCGCTCACTAGCGGATCTCAGACTTCTGGAGGGGATGTCGATTCGTAGTAGTGAGTGGAAGTAGGCTGTTGCTGAGCCTGTGGCTGTTCTACAGCATATGCAAGCATCAATGTCTTGAACTTGATGCGAGCAGCAACCATTAACCAGTGCAAGGAGATAAAGAGAGGTGTAACATGGGCTCTTTTGGGCTCGCTGAAGACCAGTCGTGCCGCTGCATTCTGAATCATTTGTAGAGGTTTGATTGTGCTTGATGGAAGTCCAGCCAGAAGAGCATTGCAGTAGTCCAGCCTAGAGATGACAAGGGCCTGGACAAGAAGTTGTGCAGCATGCTCCGTTAGAAAGGGCCTGATCTTTCTGATGTTGTGCAATGCAAACCTGCAAGATCGAGTAGTCTTTGCAATGTGGTCTTTGAAGGTCAGCTGGTCATCAAAGATTACACCAAGATTTCTGACCGAAGTTGATAGGGTAATTGTAGAGATACTTAAGTTTAAAAAAAAAAAACTTTTTCCAGGTCAGTGTCTTTTTTTAAGTAATGATAGTTGCATGCATATATTTAAGATTCAATGCAAGTTACTCACTCACTTTAATTAAATTTTTTTTATTGGAAATGTTATAAATTATTTTTAAGCTACATTTTTTTAAAATGCATGAAATATGTTTAGAAAGATAATACATGACTTGGCCTATGCATTTTAATATTGTTTTTAAAAGACCTCTCCTTTTGATAATTTTCAACATCCTTATTTGACCCATGAAACACTTATGTTTTTGAAAAGCTGATCACAATGAACAGTTGCTTTTGTGCCAAAAAAAAAGCAACTGGTTGTCTATATATTTGACCGCGTGTTTGATGAAATTATAAGTCTTGCATTTACTGTAGCGTTGTTAGCGATACATCAAACTGAAGCAACTAAATTGGGTCACCCTGGGGAAAACATGTGCAGTCATTCCAGGCGTCTTGCATGTAGCATTGATCGACAGCTCCTCTGACTGCAGTACTGCTGTGCCACGCACCGTGAGCTCCCTTCTCTGCTGCGGGCGTGCTCGTGCACAAATTAATCACTCTGGGAGAACATTAAAGAGAATACATCACGAAGCAAAGGCTTTTATTTATTTATGTGTCCATGCTACTTTGAGATAAGACACACAAGGCCGATAACATCATATTGCTCAGGAGGTCTGAGTGACAGCACTTGAGATGCTAGATGTGTTAAACATTTTTTGGTCCTGACAGACTTTTACAGTGGGCATTAGCAGTTGTAATGTGTACAGTAATTGTTGAATCCTGAAGCTCAAACAGCAGAGCAAGGCTCTGGCAATGCCAAGGTCATGGTTTCGATTCACAGGGAATGCCAGAACTGATAAAATGTGCGTCTACTTTCAATACAATGTTAGTTGCTTTAGATAAAACTGTCAGCCAGATGGGGTCAAGAGGATTTTATGCATTCTATATGTCAATTACAAGGCCAGTCTGGTTTGGACAATTATGAGATTGCCCTGTTTGTTTTATGCCTGTTTAATAGGAGTAAAATGGACCAGGACCACTGCCAAGATCCGAGTATTGCACCCTAGGCTACTAAATGCTGATAAACGAGTCAAGGAATGTCGATGTACAGTTAGAAGTAGAGTGGATTTATGTCAGAAATCAATGAATTAAATGAACTTTTTCTGTGATTAGAACACATTGAACTTCTCAAAGAAGAGGGGAGTGTTCAAGTGTGCCATTACAGAAGTACAAATCTTTTACTACAAGAACCATACATGACCATACAGTACCAGTAGATTTTTTGTCCTTTAATTGTAAAAAATATTCACAAAACGTTACTTTATTTGCTATTTAAAGATGACACACTTTGACATTTTGTCAAATGTCACTTCATTTGGATGATGAAAACACACACCAAAATATTTGTAATAATGTGGCACACAATAATATTTAATTGGATATTAATTATTTGCTTGTTATTAATGCCATTTCCTGACATGACTTGTATATTGGTTAATAATGTGTTGAAGTGTTTGTGAAGAGCTCTGAATCAGACCTGAGCAAGTCAGCCTTTTGGCATTTTAAGTGATCAGTAAATCAGCTATTCAGCACATCTGAATTAATAAATAAAAAAAAAGAGTCATACATCTGAATGAACTGCAGGCTTTACCCAACACACAATGGACATGCCTCAGACAATCTTTATGTTTATTGTTCCTGCATGTGTGTGGGAGCATGAGACTGACAGACAAAGACAGAGCAAAAGAGTGAAAGAGAGAGAGAGTTGTTATCCTGTTGTCATCTGGCAGATGTTTGTGCTGGTTCCCAAAGGCACCTGATATTTTCATGTCCTTGGCAGGCAAGATGCTGCTTTTTACAGTGTATGTCTTGGGAATAAGTTGTCATGGCAACGCTTTTAGAGCTCTAATGAAACTGATGAAAGCTGGTCTTCCTCATGAGATGTCAGAAAACGTGGCAAACTTCTCTTGAGGCTTTCAGATGATGATTTGTCTGTGTACATGTTTGCCCCTGTGTCAGTTAGTTTATTTTGTAAATCCATCATTTAGTATGAAGTTTTGTTTATGCAGTGACAAAATATAAGCCAATAAATGAATAAAACACTGGAATGAAATAAAAATCGTCAAGCTTGTTAGAGAAAGTGAGAGCTGTTATGAATTCCCAAAGGTTTATCTAGTAGTTTGGAGGCTAATAATGATACTGAAAGAGGTAACCAGGCTGACTGGATACACAAAACTTACCACATACTCACATGATAATCAGGTAAATTATACAAATAATAAAGGCAATTTGCTTAAAATATGGCCCATACACATGTGTCTTCCCAGTTGTGCTATGCGATATTCCCATAATATCCCATTCTCCCAGAAGGCCATCTAGGCCATTACATGCTCCAGTTGGCCTTGCCCTGTACAAAAACAGTAAAAGTGCTGGTAATTAATGCACTGGTCGATATGTGAATGCATCTGCTGGCTCATTCCTGGATGAGGGAATTGGCATGTCTCCCAGACTTCCTTTTTTCCTCCCATGCTCTCCCAATGGAAGCCCCACCAAAGTGGGATGTGGGAATGGTAGCTGCTAGGGATTTATCGTTATCTTGTCACATGCTTGTCTTGTGAGAAGCAAAGCAATTCTCGCTTTTCCCCATATGGTTAACAACAACTTTTTAAAAAAGAAAAAATAAACAGTTAAATAAGGGAGCTTTTTTGTTCAGGTTTTGTGGACTTGCAATCTGAGAGTCAGCTATTAAAGCACAATTTAAGGAACAATGTATGTATTTAGCAGATACATACATTTATTCAAAGCTGACTTGCATATAAAGTTAAAATACAAAACAAGTGATTAATTATTATCAATGCTGCAATCTAAAATTTTTAAATGTGATTAGATGAAAAAAGTTAGTTCAGTGCTTTGCTTGTCTAATACAGTATGTAACGTTTGCTTTGGTAAAAGATGAATTAATTCAGGTCCTTGGGATTGTAAAAATACAGATCCAGTTAAAAGATTACAGTGGGATGTGAAAGTATCAATGACACCCACAGCGGTTTACAATAAACAGTAGGATTTGATTTTAAATGATACAGAATGAAAAAATACTATGGAAATAACTGGAATCTGTGCAATTGGTAATTAAGGTCACACTCTAAAAAATGCTGGGTTAAATATAACCCAGCGCTGGGTTAAAAAGGGACAACCCCAGCTATTGGGTTGTTTTGACTCAGCCAGTCGGGAGATGGGAGAAAGTTGTAGAAAGTCAACCATCACTCCCAATAGCTGGGGTTGTCCCTTTTTAACCCAGTGCTGGGTTATATTTAACCCAGCATTTTTTAGAGTGCACAATAAAACAGAAGTAGCAATAGATCTTTTCTTCCATATCGTGACATACATCCAAGTATAGGCTATTGGATTATTGGAAAAAGAAAAAAAATATACATAGGGCGAGGACTTGGTTCGGTTCCACTTATATTAGGTCGCCTTAACTACTATGCACTTACAGTGCATCAAAAATGACTGAGTACAATGTACTTATTGTGTTCATATTGTATTGCAAAACATTCTGCTGCTATTGTGGTGGGATATAAGTTTAGGGACAGGTTTGATGGTATAGGTTTAAAGGTGGGTTAAGGTGTAAGGGATGGGTCAACAGTGTAACTATAAATGTAATTACAGAAATTAATTACAGATGTAATTGCATGCAGGTATTTTTTTCAAATACAAG